TAGCTCAAACAATGCAAAATAGTTGAAATTTTTAATATTTTCGGAAAGTCGAGTCTACAGAAATGAAGAAATGGCAACCTTTGTTGATTATCCAGGAGATTTCACACTGTAATCTTGAGACCAGGAGATACAGTCCAAAACCTGGAGTATCTCATATTATCTGGAAGAGTTGGCATCAATGATATACTATTCTTTGATGTAAAAATCATGTTCCTCTCGTGTTTACTGTAAATTAAATAAACTCCCACATGACATTATGCCGGATATGACTAATCCTGACTTGGGAAATGCTCAGGGTTCTTTGATGGGGAAACCTTACTGGTGAGAGGTAACCAGGACTGTAACCCAGATTGAATCTTATGCTCTTTAATTTCTGTTAGCAACACACACGTACTCTTCTACTTCTTGAACTTAACTCTAAACTGCGCCAAATATTGGCAAAGTGTCTGTTCCCGACTGTAGCACAGTGTCATTTTGATTTGCATGCGTTAGCTGGAACTAAGGAATTTAGCAACAGGGTTTGTGGTTGAAAGTTTTAGATTTTTTTTTTAGATTGTTAAAGATTAGATCTTTTAATGACTTTTGTCATTAAATCATAATTTCAGGTTAAGGTATTTCAAATTTTATCATAGTTCATTCATAATCTTAGCAATTAGTGATTCAAACTCTGAACATTACTTTTGTATTTTAGTTTGTAAATCTGTAAACTAGCCATATAACTAAGCATATTCGCCACGCAAAATAAAGTGTCTATGTTTATGACTCGTATGAAAAGTGTCACTATAGATAATAAAAGCTTATGTTACTTATCACGCGTCAAGTGAACCGCAACACACCAGTCTGTTAACTACAGACACTTCTCGTGCGAAGCATTAGCACTTCAGCGATGAGACTGGGACAATTGGAAGTTTTGGAAAGTTCCATGCCTGTGATTGGTCGACTGGTTGGTCAATATTCGGATGAGCACGACGCTCATTGGTTAACTTAATAGTTTTGGAAATGCATGCCTCGAAAACATTTCCCCCAAAACACAAGGAAGATACGCAAATTCGCAAAGCGGCACAAATTTGATTCTTTTTACCAAAAATTTTACGTGTATCTTATTCTACCTCTAACTACCAATAACATGACGTAGTTGAAGCTTTCAAACCCGCGTTCGACCTTTTATATAAAAGTGCGAGACGAACATGAACTCGGAAAGCCGGTTCCCTATGTAAAGTGGTCGCTAAAATTAGCCTCGTATTTCCTGTTTAAATTTTTTTAAGCAAGAAGATTAAAAACCAAAAAAAAAACAACAACAACAAGAGGCATTTTCGCTCACCTGAAGGTTGAGCTCCCGACATTTTTGACCGCATTTTGCAGGCGACGGACTTTTTACGTGATTCGGCCGCCATTTTGCGCAACATCTTTGGCTGTGGACGGAGAGAGGCCTAAGCATTAGTTTTCAGTCTTTCGCAAACGTAAGAGAGCGAAACACCGGGAAAATTAAAATATTACGTCGTTGAGACGTGGTCAAATATAATGTTGGAGTGTTGGTTTTGACTCCTTATGTGAGAATTTTTAAATCTACTTTCCTACTGTAATGACACAGCGTGACCGTTTCCATTTACGGATATTAAAGCATTTTCTTTACCAAAGTTCCGTAAATAAACAATTGCTGACATTTTTTTTTTTCTTGGAAGGATTTTTAAAATCGAAATCCTCAGCACAACAACAGTAAATCCATGAATGCCCTCTCTTTGTACGAGTGACACTGCCAGCATTTGCGCATGCGTCTGGCGTAATTAACAGTGTATATGGATACAGAGGGGGTCATCACAGATAAAGACGCAAAAAGCGAAAGAAAGAAAACCTGAAAAAAACATTCAGGCTTGCCGGGTTTTTGTTGATTTTCTCTGCATTTATTTCTTCATCCCGCGGTTTAAATAAAATTATATGAAATTCACATGATCGTCATTTCAATGTACCACATGTGCGCGACGCACAGCTCTTTCACAAATAAATAGAAGACTTTATCTTGCTTATAGACGTGTTACTCACGTAGCACATATACTAAAATTGGAACGATACAGAGAAGATTAGCATGGCCCCTGCGCAAGGATGACACGCAAATTCGTGAAGCGTTCCAAATTTTTTATTTTGAAAAATATTCTTTATTATATTTCGCTTCCAGCTAGCAGTTGTGCTTGGGTTTTTTGCCTTATTAAGGCTTGAAAGTCTTCAAAAAACGCTTCAAAGTGTCTATCCTTGCACAAACCTTCATAAAGCGTTTTAAACTTGGAACAGTTCTTTTTGGAAGAACTGTAACTACAGTAGAACCCCGGTAACTTGAACTCTGAAGGGAAAGGAAAAACAGCTCGAACTTGGGAGGGTTCGAGTTGTCGGGGTCGATTAAAAACTTCAATAGGCCATTTTAAAAACCAATAATTACTGATTTCTCAGTACTTTGATCAGTGTATGGTGCAGTACAAGTTTACTTATTTCATCACAAACGGTAACATGATTAGGCACTTTTATGATAAAACGTGATCTGTTCCTTTTACCAATTAAAATCAAATTACATTTAATAGTGACCAATGTTAGTTTTCGCGTTGTTACTCTTATACAACAAGAAGAGCTAATGGGATGGCATTCGAGTGTAGTTAAAAGAACCAGAATTTGAGTTTTCGGTGTAAATTTCAGTGAATTTTTGGTCAGGGAAAAGGAATTTTAGTTCGAGTAGGCGGGGAGTTCGAGTTATCGGGGTTTTACTGTACGTGTGCAAGAGGTACCGGGATCAATACCCGGGTTCTCCAACCAAAGATAGAGGGGTTCTTAGCCAGGAAAAGCTCACTGACAGCAACAAACAAGTCTTCATTTACAGCTTCAACTTAACTCTCAACTGCGCCAAATATTGGCAACTTTGAATAATTAAAATTTAGGTACCTTCAGGTTGGCTGACTATGAGAGTTGCAAACGCACTTCTTAGTGACTTTAGCGAATTTCCCGTTGATCATCCTGTTTAACACTATGGGACAGGACTGATAACCTCGGAAGATATTACAAGATGATGATTCTTTTACCGCTGCTACCGCGGTGTGTTGGTCCATCGGATCATGAAAATGCACCCCAGACGAGTGCCGAAAAACGTCTGTGTCTTTCGCAGTATCCATTTTTTTCTTTTTACGTCTCTGACCCGTAGAGAAGGATTGACCTCACACTGGAATTGAAGATGCACAGTGTTGGTCTTGTGGCTATTTCCCTAGAGACCGAGATGTCATTGAGGCTAAAGAGGGTTGTTCTAGCTTTCCCCACTCTGATCACCTTCACAAAAGGCTCTTTATGTCCCCCAATCGCCTCCTTTGGTTTATAAAGCGGCCACCAGTGATCTTACAGTCCGTGCCGCACTCTTTATCCAAAGTGCTGCCCAGGTAGATGAAGGAGTTGACTTTCTCAATAGGCTCACCACTTTGACTTGTTCTTGTTGACTCTCAGCTCTTTTCCAAGGGATATGTTTTCTGTGAAGGGACTGTTTAAGAAGGAGTCAGGAGCTTTTCAAATCCGTATTTATTGCCTGCTTGCTCCGATATAGCAACCTCCTTGTTGCAAATCCGGAACCTTAAGATTACACAATACAACGACATATCAGGTTGGTGTTGTTGTTCATCCTTTGGAAGTCGAAGATGACCACGACTTTAGACTGACGAATAGCGGCGGTGAGATCCGAAAATGGCTAGCGAGGTCAATCAGAGCCCAGAGGGCCCACTCACACATGATCCATGAGTCTGTAGGTGATGCAGTGGAGGTGGAGGTTGCTCTGGTCTTGTGGGCGGTACGTTTCCTCTATGTTTAAACGGTCCGTCGGTTTTCTGCCGCAGTGGTGACTTTGCTACGCCAAGTTGGACGGTCCTGGTCAAGCGACTCCCATGTACTAGGGCTGATGTCCAGGTCTTTAAGGGAGCAAGTGCTTGCCCTGACAGAGTTCTCCATACAGTAACTATTTATGGTAGTTGGCTGTCAGACATTCTGCAGACATGGCCTGCCAATCTAACCTGGCCTTTCTGTTGAAGGGTATGCACGTGCGGGATGCCGGCCCTTTCTATGCCCTCCGTGGCAGGATTTTTTCTGTCCCGACATCTGATGTGGAGATGTCTGTGGAGGCACCTCGATCAGGTAGAAATGATTGAGGTGCTCGTTGTGTCTGCTTTAGATAGTCCAGCCTGCCCATCTAACCAAGGCTTTCTGTAGGAGGGTGCGCAAGCTGGGATAATGGCCCTTTCTAGGACCTCCGTGCCAGGAATTTTTTCCTGCTATCTGATGTGGAGGAATATGCGTAGAGAGCTCAGATGGTAATGATTGAGCTGCTTGGCGTGTCTGCTATAGACAGTTCAAACGTAGAGGAGAGTGGTGAGCACCACTGCACGGAAAACCTTCAGAAATTGCGGGATAATCACCTCACTCCAAATCTTGATTGGTGAAGAGATTGGAAAATATGGTCTTTATGTCGGCCCTCATTGACTTTGCTAATACTCCATTGCCATTCTTTAGTGTCATGGCTCTCCATTTTCAACTTGGTGAAAATGCCTGACTAAGGCCAGTCTTGGTTAGTCAGTCCGTCAAGGAGGGTATGCAGCCCTGAAGATGATGTTACATAGGGATTAGAATATCAAAATTAGAAATAGACTATCAAAACATAGGAGACGTTTCCGCACGAAACGACGTCTGAGGAACGACCGCACAAAATCCATACCAAAATCATTTCACTACCCAGACCTTGGTAATGCTTCTGATTGGTTGAAGCAAATTTTCATCTCGGCACAACCAATCAGAAGCCCCTTTCAGGTAGAGAGTAATAACAAGTCATCAGTAAAGAGGTTTCTGTGCTCGTTCTTCAGACGTCATTTCGCGGATAAAACAATCGTGGCCCCGCGTTTTCTCAGGCTAGCTGTTGTAATGTCCACATCATCATGTTCNTGCCAGGTTGTGAAGAGAGAACTGACCTTTTTCTCACCACAGCAGTCACGATCTGTGTATAGAAGTACTGGTGGGGGAACGCCAGCCACCTCATAGCGACGGATGATCCCAGTTGCCATAGGGCGGAGCCCACTTCCCTCACTTGCTGTTAAGACGCTGTTAAGAACTTGGCCAAATTCATTTCCAATGTTGGTGACCCAAGCAGCTGTTCCAGCAGCAGCACCAGCAAGCTTTTTAGTAACCTAGTACAAAGTTGAAAAAGATAACCGATACAGTAATTATTATAACAATTGCTTGAGTAACAAGAGGAATATTTTTTGAGCTGGGCAGGGGGGGGGCTACTATCCGGGGTACTTGATATGCCATATTCGTGATATGTCGGTGTTTCCAAACAAAGATTACTATTGATATAAAGGCTTAAGGTGACTTGGTAATTTATCTGTTTATAATATCTTACCTTCTTTGTGGAATCAATCTTCAGTACACTCCCAAATGTTGACGTGATATAAGCCTTCACTTCCTCAAGCCGTGACAGCACATCCCTGCAGTAAACTGTAAGAAGCCAGCCTGCTTTTGGAAGGGTAGGAAGAGATGGTGGCTCATCAAGCTCTGGGGCCAGGACCAGTTGTCGTTTGCTAGCCTCCACAAATGTTTGACAATCTGTCAAATAATGGGCAGTACGTTGTAGCCACTGTTCTTTATGCTGTTCCGTCAGTTTCTTCTGCAACTGAGTCGAGCTATTTCCAAAACCACGTTGTCTTAGCAATCTCACTACTCTCATGTCACAGGCATAGTTGTAGGTGATGATGATAGGAAACTGCTTCCTGTGACCCACATCTAACTGATCAAGGATACCCTGACTCCAGCTAATAACTTTCCTCTTGCACTTCCCACACTCAAGATACTCGGTTGCCAAGGAGTAGAAGCCATCCAGGTCAAGCACCTGTCTAACATGAGGGTACAGGCCCGCACTGGTAAGAGGGTGCTTGACACAATCATCATGTGGACAATGCAACAACACTTGCCATAGTTTTCTTGGCATCCATAGTAGGAGGCGCCGTGTGAAGTAAGTGTTGACAGTGGGACGCTGATGCACCCTTAACGACGGCTGGGGTGGATACCACCAAAGCTTGTTTATCTTTGACATGTCAAGCTCTGCTTTGTCTTTCATGGTCGACTGTTTAAAAAGTGCCTTGGAGACCCAGATGTGATCTTCTTTGGGTAGGCTCTTTTTCCATCCCTCAGGCAACAGGTAATCTGTGTATGAAATTGATTTTCTTATAAGTTTACTATTATTATTGTTATTGTTATTGTTATTATTATAATTTATTTTAATTATTCTGGTTTTTATTATGATGATGATTATTATTACTATTATCATTAGTTCTTATTATTCATTATCATTATCATTATTATTATTACTAGCTATTATTATCATATTTGACCATAGTTATATATCAGTACATGATAAATAACTTTTCATTGCATGATTAATATAAATTATTAGGGAGAAAGAGAGGGAGGCATTTCAAAAATATGTTGGAAATCACTCTTTTAAAGACAGCAGTTTTCGAATATTTACCTTTAGATGCACCAACTTGTTTCTCTTCTGTTGGAGGTTTTGGAGTAGTTTTTGGAACAACAGATGAGCTATCTATGGCATTAGCTGCAGACAGCAACAGTTCATCGGAAACACTGTTCGTGTCCTCTGGGATTCTCAGTTGCGTGTCAGTGGGAAATGTTGCCTTTACAGATTTGCCTAAAAAATGAAAAAAAAAAAAAAAAATGAATAAAATTATTGACTTGATTACTCTTAGATATTCAAGGGACTTAATGTACAACAATTAAGTGACTTGATCAACTATATTCGATATACAGTTACATTTCGCAACTGTTAAACCTTTCGCGACCTTTTTTTTTTGGTTGAGTTGTTTTTGAAAAAAGTCTGAGAACAGAGAGATGTTTAATTAGAAAGAGAGAGAAGGTGGGGCGGGGTTAGGTAAGTGTCTTATTAAAAAGGTGTTAATAATTATAGCCTGTTGGTGTTTTCGTTCACTGTAGCGTAACAAAAGAGCGATTACTTTACCTTGAATAGTTCGATGTAATCGCTTTGCAATTTCTTGCGGGGATAACGAACTTCGTCCAACAAGCGAAGCCATAGCGGTTGTATTAGACGTTCGAGTCGATGTCTGCCTTGTAGTTGAGCTTGAAGTCGAAGTTGACGAAGCTGTTTGTTCTTTGGCCTTTTCTTTCTTCAACGCCAAGGCCTCTCTACCTTCGGGGAAGGACTTAAAATATTCCGCGAAGGAATGCTTATTTACAGCCAAGGGTGAACTCGTAGCTGTCTCGCTCGACATGCTGTTCACAATCCATGCTGCGTATCCAAGACCATTTTCTAACAGCCATTTGAAAGTCTTACCCCTAAATCTGCCAAACTGAAGTTCAAATTGGCCAAGAAGATCGGTTCGATTGCTCGGATTTCCACCAAGTCGTGTCACCTCACTCTTGGCTTTGGCTTCTACCTCACCTGGCTTCTTTGAAATGTACGACGGATCGGCAGTCTGAGGAGTTTTAATTAGCTTGTTTGCCTCCTCCGAATAACCAAGGCGCAGCTCTGCTCTACCAGCCACAGTCACTCGGGAAAAACGTGGTTTCAAACTCTAAAGCACGGCATGAAAGCAAATATAAGAAGACACTCATAACAATTGAGATTATGGAAATTAAACTTAACTTCATTTTACAAGTGAACCGCGACGAACCGGTCTGCTAACTACAGACAATGCATGTATGTTACAAGGGACCGATGTACATATACACGGCAGAAAGCGACGTAAACAACAACCAAGCAAACTATAATTGAGTGATTTGGCGAGCTGTAGACCTGCATTATAATTCGGTGAATGGACGATTTCTTCTCTCCAAGTTGAAAAGGTGAGCAACATATTGATTTTTGGAACTTACCATCATTTTCGGTATTCTTCTTGGTAATTATGTATAATTTTGTTTCCTTTGTTCCTTGTGCAAATGGTCGCGTGCGGCTGATTATTCAGTACACTACAACGTAACACTTCGCTACTGTAACTTGCTTTCTTTGATGTTTCGCCTGATGCAGGGGAATATATTGAAGAAAATAACTGAGAGACTTTATTTATACTATTTTTTGAAGTAAAAATCACGTTCCTCTCTAGGTGTGTACTGTAAATTAGATAAACTCCCACATAAAACTACGTGCAGGATATGACTAATACTGACTTGAGAAATACGTAGTGACTAAAGGTTAAAAAATATTATATTTTGATTAAATACGTGTATTCTGGAAAATACAATGTTATCCATTGTGGAAAAAAGTTTATGTTGGGGAGATGGGGATTTTGTTCCACTGATAACTCGCCACAAAAAAGGCTTTAAACAACGTACAACCCACGCAAGTCGTGTGCCGCGGTCGAACGTAAACAAGCGAACGAATTCGCTTCGAGCAGTCCGTTTCTGCAGTCACAGATCAAAAAAAAATACCTATAAATATCATTATCAATGATACTCGTGTAAAAATATATATATTTTTTATTTCTCAGCAAGCGCGTGTTACTTTCAATTCACTCCTTTTCCGATTAGCTCACGCGATCAGATTTGGAAACATTTGGAACTTTTGGAAATTTCCATGGATGTGATTGGTCAACATTTGGATGAGCTTGACGCTCATTGGTTAACTTTTGGAAATGACTACCTCGAGCAATGGGAAATACTTAGCGCAAAGCGCAAGGATGACACGCAAATTCGTGAAGCGTTCCAAATTTTTTATTTTGAAAAATATTCTTTATTATATTTCGCTTCCAGCTAGCAGTTGTGCTTGGGTTTTTTGCCTTATTAAGGCTTGAAAGTCTTCAAAAAACGCTTCAAAGTGTCTATCTTTGCACAAACCTTCATAAAGCGTTTTAAACTTGGAACAGTTCTTTTTGGAAGAACTGTAACTACAGTAGAACCCCGGTAACTTGAACTCTGAAGGGAAAGGAAAAACAGCTCGAACTTGGGAGGGTTCGAGTTGTCGGGGTCGATTAAAAACTTCAATAGGCCATTTTAAAAACCAATAATTACTGATTTCTCAGTACTTTGATCAGTGTATGGTGCAGTACAAGTTTACTTATTTCATCACAAACGGTAACATGATTAGGCACTTTTATGATAAAACGTGATCTGTTCCTTTTACCAATTAAAATCAAATTACATTTAATAGTGACCAATGTTAGTTTTCGCGTTGTTACTCTTATACAACAAGAAGAGCTAATGGGATGGCATTCGAGTGTAGTTAAAAGAACCAGAATTTGAGTTTTCGGTGTAAATTTCAGTGAATTTTTGGTCAGGGAAAAGGAATTTTAGTTCGAGTAGGCGGGGAGTTCGAGTTATCGGGGTTTTACTGTACGTGTGCAAGAGGTACCGGGATCAATACCCGGGTTCTCCAACCAAAGATAGAGGGGTTCTTAGCCAGGAAAAGCTCACTGACAGCAACAAACAAGTCTTCATTTACAGCTTCAACTTAACTCTCAACTGCGCCAAATATTGGCAACTTTGAATAATTAAAATTTAGGTACCTTCAGGTTGGCTGACTATGAGAGTTGCAAACGCACTTCTTAGTGACTTTAGCGAATTTCCCGTTGATCATCCTGTTTAACACTATGGGACAGGACTGATAACCTCGGAAGATATTACAAGATGATGATTCTTTTACCGCTGCTACCGCGGTGTGTTGGTCCATCGGATCATGAAAATGCACCCCAGACGAGTGCCGAAAAACGTCTGTGTCTTTCGCAGTATCCATTTTTTTCTTTTTACGTCTCTGACCCGTAGAGAAGGATTGACCTCACACTGGAATTGAAGATGCACAGTGTTGGTCTTGTGGCTATTTCCCTAGAGACCGAGATGTCATTGAGGCTAAAGAGGGTTGTTCTAGCTTTCCCCACTCTGATCACCTTCACAAAAGGCTCTTTATGTCCCCCAATCGCCTCCTTTGGTTTATAAAGCGGCCACCAGTGATCTTACAGTCCGTGCCGCACTCTTTATCCAAAGTGCTGCCCAGGTAGATGAAGGAGTTGACTTTCTCAATAGGCTCACCACTTTGACTTGTTCTTGTTGACTCTCAGCTCTTTTCCAAGGGATATGTTTTCTGTGAAGGGACTGTTTAAGAAGGAGTCAGGAGCTTTTCAAATCCGTATTTATTGCCTGCTTGCTCCGATATAGCAACCTCCTTGTTGCAAATCCGGAACCTTAAGATTACACAATACAACGACATATCAGGTTGGTGTTGTTGTTCATCCTTTGGAAGTCGAAGATGACCACGACTTTAGACTGACGAATAGCGGCGGTGAGATCCGAAAATGGCTAGCGAGGTCAATCAGAGCCCAGAGGGCCCACTCACACATGATCCATGAGTCTGTAGGTGATGCAGTGGAGGTGGAGGTTGCTCTGGTCTTGTGGGCGGTACGTTTCCTCTATGTTTAAACGGTCCGTCGGTTTTCTGCCGCAGTGGTGACTTTGCTACGCCAAGTTGGACGGTCCTGGTCAAGCGACTCCCATGTACTAGGGCTGATGTCCAGGTCTTTAAGGGAGCAAGTGCTTGCCCTGACAGAGTTCTCCATACAGTAACTATTTATGGTAGTTGGCTGTCAGACATTCTGCAGACATGGCCTGCCAATCTAACCTGGCCTTTCTGTTGAAGGGTATGCACGTGCGGGATGCCGGCCCTTTCTATGCCCTCCGTGGCAGGATTTTTTCTGTCCCGACATCTGATGTGGAGATGTCTGTGGAGGCACCTCGATCAGGTAGAAATGATTGAGGTGCTCGTTGTGTCTGCTTTAGATAGTCCAGCCTGCCCATCTAACCAAGGCTTTCTGTAGGAGGGTGCGCAAGCTGGGATAATGGCCCTTTCTAGGACCTCCGTGCCAGGAATTTTTTCCTGCTATCTGATGTGGAGGAATATGCGTAGAGAGCTCAGATGGTAATGATTGAGCTGCTTGGCGTGTCTGCTATAGACAGTTCAAACGTAGAGGAGAGTGGTGAGCACCACTGCACGGAAAACCTTCAGAAATTGCGGGATAATCACCTCACTCCAAATCTTGATTGGTGAAGAGATTGGAAAATATGGTCTTTATGTCGGCCCTCATTGACTTTGCTAATACTCCATTGCCATTCTTTAGTGTCATGGCTCTCCATTTTCAACTTGGTGAAAATGCCTGACTAAGGCCAGTCTTGGTTAGTCAGTCCGTCAAGGAGGGTATGCAGCCCTGAAGATGATGTTACATAGGGATTAGAATATCAAAATTAGAAATAGACTATCAAAACATAGGAGACGTTTCCGCACGAAACGACGTCTGAGGAACGACCGCACAAAATCCATACCAAAATCATTTCACTACCCAGACCTTGGTAATGCTTCTGATTGGTTGAAGCAAATTTTCATCTCGGCACAACCAATCAGAAGCCCCTTTCAGGTAGAGAGTAATAACAAGTCATCAGTAAAGAGGTTTCTGTGCTCGTTCTTCAGACGTCATTTCGCGGATAAAACAATCGTGGCCCCGCGTTTTCTCAGGCTAGCTGTTGTAATGTCCACATCATCATGTTCTATCGACTACCTGTGCCCTTCGGCGGGAATACCCTGCTTATGTTTTGACTTTTAAATTCTAGTGTAGTTGAATCGAAAAAATCAACTAACTATTTGGTTTCTTTTTGTTGTAGTCGTGATATTGTAGATCCTGTGGTTCCATTCGCTCTTCGATTATCATCTACCCTCATGTTTGGTGTTGTACTAATTTACCGAGAACAAACAAGAACAGTGTGGTGTAAGGAAAATTTGATGATTTTGCCCTGTTTTTGATATACTGTTTCTCTTTCTGATTAAAGGTTAGGGGCACACAACGACAGGTTTCTTCCAAATGCTATTTAAAAACAAGTATTAGAGGACTTTTCGCAGCGAAACTCGTCATTTGGTTTCCCTGTAAGTTTCTTGGCTTTGCTGTCCGCACCAATCCACAAAGTGTACCACTAGCCGTTATTAGTCCTGAAATAATTCAGGCGTACAAGGTTTTCTCATTTTGACAGCAGAAAAATTAGAGCGATTTTCGTATGATCTTGAAAAATGGTTTCAGGAAGTGTTCGTTATTTGTTTTATCATCCAATGATGAAAAGAGCAAAACATGGACTCTTCGTTTCCCGCCAAAAAAACCCTAATATGGAGAAGACATTGTTCAACTGGCCAATCGTGTTGCAGTATGACGTCAAAGCGAAGTATCGATTGATTTCTAGAAAGTTCTCTGGTATAACGTTTTTTCACCCGAGCGTTCTCTTAAACAACCAAAAGCCACGCGCGTTTGTATCCGTTCGATAAACAAATCTAATCGCCCTATTTTAGTTCGTTTGTTGTTTCTGTTTTGTACGCGCGTTTTCATTCAAGGTCATACGACTATCGCTCCATATTTCTTCAAATAATGTGACTGTCTAATTTCTTTTTATTTTGTAGCCGAAGTAGTAAATATATTGAAGAATTTGAAAACTGCATCTGAACTGAGAGTCAGCAGTATTGACTTGGTCAATCCATCGTTAAGGTAGGACAAAATTCCTTTGACTTTTTCCTCTGTTACTACTAAAAATATTTTATCCGATATCCGTTGTGATTTTTTGTTTTCGGTTAGATTAACAAGAGCCTACAAGTGAATATTTACGTTAAACGCATCGTATTTAAAGAAGGGACATCTATGTCGTCTAACGTTACGCTACGTTATGTAATGTTTTGTTATATCACGTTAAGTTATCTTATGTCCTGTTGTGTGATTTGTGCGGCTCAAATTATTTGGCCAGTTATGACCCAGTTAAGAGCCATTTTTCAACAAAGTAACTCTCGGTAACATCTTCTCACTCAACAAGGTCCTCACCCCCAACGATCTAACATTACAGTATACATACAGGACCAGCCACTTCAAGGATAATTTGAACATCCGTCCCCCCCCTTCTCTGATTGTTCTTTCCTTCTGTCTCGAAAGACAGTGGAATGCGCCGGAAAACCAAATTACATTGTTTTGCCACACACTTTTCGACAGTCTTTACATGGCAGGTGCTGTTTGCCGATGCGCTTTCTGATCTCACCCGAAAGGAATAGATTGCAGGAGATATTAGTCTCCCTCTCAGCCGTTTTTAGTGTCGTCACGCAACGCTCCTCCCTACAAGAGCGTTGCTTGACTGTGACGACACTAAAAACGGCTGTGATGGAGACTGAGGGGATATTGGAAGCAAAGTAAGTCAAATCATCAACTGCTTACGGGTTGTATATAACCCCCATGGAGATGCTCGAC